GAGAAATGTACATCAGGTCCGATCATCCGACTTTCAATGTTTCGGTTTTTTGGACTCGGTTCATGAACGTATTTTGGTTTGGCTCCTGGAATGTGCGAATGTGCGAAAAATGACTCCCGGGACTGTCTACAGGGAACACTCGCATATTGCCCAACATTCGCGGTGTATCAGGACAGCGCGACTGGTCGGCATTAGCGCGACTGGTCGGCATTAGCGCGACTGGTCGGCATTAGTGCAATTAGTAACAGTTGCACATCAGTCCGGCCGAAAGCATGATTGTGTAACACAGGTTACTTCTTCCTTTACCGGCTCATACTACAAGACGCGTTTACGACTAGCAAATCATAAAATTATCCGATCTACTAGTATGTGCGGTTTACCAGCCCCAGACCATGGTCACATCCGACCACGAGGCAAAACACATTGATGGGTTGCTCAAAAATATTGTACATTTTTTCAAAGAGCTGCTCCACTAACACTATGGAGCGGCCCAACCCAAAAATATTGCCCATGTGTACAGTGAAGCGGCCAGCATGCTCGTTGCTAGGACGACCGGCCAGTTGCTACGTGACTAAATACACACCGCCACAGGTCGCCACACCCGACTAGTTTGAAATCGATAGGATTACGTCATCGGTATTAACATTTCCTAATGTTGACCTCTGACCACCCCACATTTCCGTCCCCATCAGCCTCACCGCGACTTACTACCGGTGACATAAACGGACGACAACATTTCAACGACATGGGGATGTTTCGAAAATAACCATTTACTCCAATATCAAAACAGCTACGGTAAAAATAAAAAGACGTGCATCATCCCGGACATAATACCACACCACATGCGAAATTACACAAAAATGCGACGTACGGAAGAATGCGTTTTGGCTGCGAACATCTGCCAAAAAACTTGGCATCTCTTAACCATGGGCAAAAACATCTGGAACCACTTATCAAAACCACCCCGTATCTGCATGAAGTTCCACCCCCCCACTGCTATTCCAAACAACGCGTTTTTCTGGACCATTCCAATTCGCCTCGTAATTGTAGGGGTGCGTCTGCAATATTACATTGACCGCGAAAGCAGCAACGGCAAAAATACACATTCGTGCATCAACACGGGCATGCCCGCAGACGGCGTATAAAATTGCGTGCCGATTACACAAAGAGAACCCAGTGTTTTGACTGCGAACATGAAAAATCAGCCGATCACAACACTCCGTCCGGAGGTCCTGACCTCCTTCACGGAGTAAAAAGGCCTGATTACGCTTTACGAAAAAGGGCATGCAGGCCCTCACTAATGCTTTGCAGGCCCTCTATTTCAATTCATGCCCCCTATCCCAACGGTGTCAGGGGCAACTCGCTAATGTTTTTTCAGGCCCTGTGTTTCATGACCTGCAGTACCAACTGTCTAGAATTGGATGGTTTTATAAACTATTTATTACCATTCTTTATTTATGGGAAGTTCAAATCGGCCTGCAGGCCACTTTTCATAGAGGTCATGAGGGAAGATGGAAGCGTCAGACCCAGACAAAATAAATAGCACACAGTTTACATTATTTAAAGTTCTGATGAATGGTTACTTGGCTGAATTTCACAAAAATGATAATGGAGGAAACAGTTGGAGAGAAATATTCTGCCTTGGCTAGCAAATACTGACCTGTCTTCTCGGTATGCCCGGTATTTTGACATCATGACCTCACGCGATGGTGAACTGTACTGCAGCCTCTTTTATATACTAAGTAATACTCTGAAATCATAGAAACAACAGATGCCGGACAAGAAACAAGATTTAACTACTAGTAAACCCAGTTTACATAAACGTTAGCATATCTAAAGAGATATCGGCCACATTGCAAAATTTTAATCATCCATGATTTTGTAATAAGCCTATTCGCCATTACTAGTGCGCCTGCGCGGAGTTTACTTAGCGACGCAGAATTGGAGATAAACAAACCCGCGGCCGCAATCGTCCCCAGCGCCAGCGTATGTCTCGATTTCCAGCTTACACACGGCGTTACCGGTGGTGGCCCGCCTTGGGCTGAGTTCCAACGATGTTCTGGACCTATCTTGCCTAAAATATCGCGATATCTTTATCTTCAAGTGGATTTACGGTACGTTTTTTGACGGTATCCAAGCTAGCGCTAGCGCCTAATTACTTATGCATGCCCCCCTCCCCCATCCTGCACGCCTTCCGTCTTCACGTTTTCCGCTCAATTTTCCGGTCCAATCTCGATAAAACGAGTTTTGGAATACCTTTTTTCGTGTAAGAGTGGTTATTTGTGTAAGATAATGGTGGAATTTTTCAGTTTTAGTCGGTAAAAATTGTAAATAAACTGCATGAGCTTTGTCTTCAGAAGACCGATACACTACGTGTTCTTGTGTCACCCCAAGCACATAGAGCTTTCTAACCACAATCCTCACCGTCTCACCACGACATTATTACCGATTAAAATAATGATTTAGGAATAGTACAAGCAGTGATGACATCTATATGTTTATAAATATTTAGTGTGGTTTTCGTAGGGGGATACGTAGGGCCATGGGGGTTTTGTGCATGCAAATGCCATTGCATTAGTGCATTCAAGACTTGATGTTTTGAACGTAAATCCATCAACTTTTGGTTCAATTTTTCTCTTTTCTTCTTTTTACAGTGTTACTTTCCCGACCTCAACATGAAGCTGTGTGCAGTAGTGAATTGCAGCAATTCAACTTACCATCTAGAAAAATGGAAGAGACATGCCAAATACATGGTACAAAAAGTGGACCATTTTCCTATGAGAAGAAAAAAACCTCATGCTAGGAGAAGAGGGAATAAACTTATGAACAAGCTTGAAGCCAAACCCAGATGGAATATACTAAAAATACAAGCACACTTAGGTTCTGAAATGGTTTCATGAAAGTATATTGTAACCCGCACATAAACAGTGCTGCAAATTGTAATCATGACAGATATTTTATGTACTGAATTTTGATAGTTCTGTGCAGTAATACTGCTAAACTGGTACAGACTTTTAGTCTAACAAGGGTCTGCTGTAAATAGATTCAATATGATTATCTTTTCACTTATTAACTTGAATTAGTGGAAAATAATATATTTGAACATGATGTTAAGTCATTAACATTATATTTACCACTTAAGATACCTTTTTCCGCATGCAGTTGAGAAAGCTGTGGTGAACTGGTGTAGTTGACTCCTTCGTGCCTGCACCACAGGTGCTCCCAACAGTGATGGTCTAAGTACTAGTACTTAAGTTTAGATCTTTTCCACTGACTGTTGACCATAAGATCAGGTGTATGTAGAGAACTCCAGTCATTTACACTACTTACACCAAACACCTGACCCCTGCGTTTGGATCTTGAAAGTGGAATATTTAATTTGTAACTACTCTCTTGTTGTTTTTCTGACCAAACACAAGAAAAACAAGTCAGTTAACTGCATCGACAGTACTACATACTCACTCACATTCACTATCCGGTTTATTGTCTAAATACTAAATAATATTTGCTAGACAGCATAGGTTGTACGATGGCGATTACTAGATTACTGTAAACATTCACACTGTGATAGAAAACATACAAGCACCGATAAACATAAACTTACTGTGTTAACACACAAACAGCTCTGCAATCAAAGTGATGTAGAAAATATAATGCCACAGCACTTGGCTCAGATAGTTGATGAAGACAGATATAGTTGAAAACTCAAATTTCTTGAGTTGTAGAACAGTTTTTTTTTTTTTTAATAAAATATGTAACTTACCAACTCAGATAACCTTTCAATTACTATTTCCCTGGACACTGATTGTACTGTTACATACATGTATATACTATAAAGAAAACAAAACAAGCACCATTTTGATATTTTTCTTATTCCCATATCTCTCTATATGTGGACAGCACTTAATGAATGGTGCATAGGAAATATAATATTAAATATACAATGCCATATATGTTGAGAAAGACCTGTACACTAACACAAGTATTACTGGCAACATGCAACAATCCTTTACTAAACACAAGGTTCTTCAAAGAAAATTAATGCCATGGTTGCTTGAATACTACTGTTATGTCTTGGGTTCTGTATCCTGGGTCTGTGGACAAGTTCCGTCTCCGCGGCCAAGACAGTGTGGACTAAGGAGGTAAGATGTGCCTAGTCGTTTGAGGAAGCAATTTCTGTCTGCAGTTGGGGTAAATATGGTGGTAAGGGACTTCGCTTACCCATTCAAAGTCGAAGTAGGAGTATGTTTTCTCCTCATCATAGTCGCCCGACAGCCGTTTACGTAGTATGGGAGGCACAGGGCCGGCTCGCTAAACTCATGATCAGTGCTGGGCCGATTTTTAAGTGCGGGGGGAGGGGCATCCTTTGACGTCGTCCTTCGGTTCGACGAACTACCCTTCCGTGAAGCCCACCGGTCCGAGAATAGGTGATTTTTTTTATTCTTGACTATAATTCTTGACATTCACAACTGAACCTGCTGCTGTCTTCGGCGAATTCGGCAACCGCGTCGTGATTCTTTTAAGCATACGAAGTTGTATGCGCCTTGAAGTTGTAGGCTTTTCCCCCTGGACGTGACTCGCGGAAACGCCTTGAAAACCGGCAGTTACCGGCAGTCTAACCTCAACCAAGAAACGTCTGTCATCTTTACCGTCCAATAAGATATAAAATCTCCACTTACGGCCCGGGTAAACTCATTTTTTTTAGCTACGTAGCGGAATTCGACACCCGCGCTCGCTGTGTCGCGGGGCGACGCGGTTTTGTTTATCTCTCAAAATGGCGGATATTACCCATCATGCATTTCGCGCCGGTAATGGCGAATAGGCTTATTCTGTATCCGGACTACTTTTTTTACTGCCCTGGGGTCTTGAACCGCGGATGAATATCTGTGTTCTGCGGTCGCGAGAAGTTCAGTTTGACAGGCGAGACGCTGTCATCAGCAGCTCGAGAGTCTAAAGGCTTCGTGAGTTCGCAGCTTTGTGTGATCCACGGCGGTATTTTCGGACAAATCAGGTACCCGATTCAGCATCAAGGCCACTCAGTTTTCATCTGAGATCCGTTTCAGGTACGTAGGAAAAGCTGCAACAGTAGAATAGACCAAAAAACGTCGTGGTGTGATGTGATCGAAATTATGGCGTGTGAAGTTTTGTGCACATGTGACGACTTGAATTGATACAGTTTTGATAGACCCTCGCAAACAAAGTGCTTCTCGAACAACACGTAAACATGATCCTTTCTAGTCCGATTGTAGCATTAGGGATATATATATAAGTTATAACCTCGAAAATGTTCGGAATCGTGACTTATCCCCCACCCCACCAACATCTGGTTTCCATCAGGTATGATTGTGAAAGGGCAAGGGTCGGTTCACTAATGTTTTGGTAGGGTACCAAGGACATTATAGACCAACGACATTATACTGCATAATGTCCTTGGCTAGCCGAACTGTGTCAGGGGTGGTTCACTAATGCTTTGTAGGCTCACTATTTGATGCTATGCTACTCCGTGTCAGGGAAGGTTCACTAATGTTATGCGGTCTAAGCCCTCTATTTTATGCTCCTCTAGACTACGTTATGGACGTTTCACTAATGTTTTGGTACGCTCACCAGCAGCTGTCGTTTTGGACGGCCTGAACTCGGACAGAGGCCGTCTTCGTAAAAAATGCCGAGACACGGAAAATTAGAGAAATTGACATTCTTTGTTATGTGGCTGTAGACGGGGACGCCGTCCAAGGCAGGAAAGACCCACGTTGTTACTCCGTGAAGGAGGTCAGGACCTCCGGACGGAGTGTTGTGATCGGCTGATTTTTCATGTTCGCAGTCAAAACACTGGGTTCTCTTTGTGTAATCGGCACGCAATTTTATACGCCGTCGGCGGGCATGCCCGTGTTGATGCACGAATGTGTATTTTTGCCGTTGCTGCTTTCGCGGTCAATGTAATATCGCAAACGCACCCCTACAATTACGAGGCGAATTGGAATGGTCCAGAAAAACGCGTTGTTTGGAATAGCAGTGGGGTTCAAAAAAGTTCATGCAGATACGGGGTGGTTTTTATAAGTGGTTCCAGATGTTTTTGCCCATGGTTAAGAGATGCCAAGTTTTTTGGAAGATGTTCGCAGCCAAAACGCATTCTTCCGTACGTCGCATTTCTGTGTAATTTCGCATGTGGTGTTGCATTATGTCCGGGATGATGCACGTCTTTTTATTTTTACCGTAGCTGTTTTGATATTGGAGTAAATGCTTATTTTCGAAACATCCCCATTTCTTTGAAATGGTTTCGTCCGTTTATGCAACTGTTACTGCGCTAATGACGACCAGTCGCGCTGTCCTGATACACCGCGAATGTGCGAGTGTTCCCTGTAGACAGTCCCGGGAGTCATTTTTTTGCACATTCCAGGAGCCAAACCAAAATACGTTCATGAACCGAGTCCAAAAAACCGAAACGTGAAAATCGGATGATCGGACCTGATGTACATTTCTCTTTCTATAGATTGTACACACAATACACACATCTTTAGATAATCTGGCCATAGGACAGGTTAAAAAAAAAGTAACCCTGAATCATACTAGATTAGCGTAAATGCATGTTTATGCGTTTCAAAAACAAGAAAAGAATTTGTTTCTCGGTATTAATCTCTTGAAACACGGCGCTGAATATTGACGCAAAGATATTTCGGGCATCGCGCGCCCTTCCCCAAATCCCGCGTCACGTGTCGGCATTTCGCATCTCTGATTGGTTGTTGCGACTTAAGATGACTGAGCCGACGCGCGTTTAAACAATTTTTCTTTGTTCGATTTATTTTCTTCACAGAGAATTGTCGCCAATGGCTACTTCTTTTTGTTGCAATATATAATACTTCACGGAGAATTGTCGCCTATGGCTTCTTGTTTGTTTTGCTTGTTGTTATCATGCTGACGAACAATTGATGTCGGCGCCTTTCGCATACGTTAATCTCATTAAAACCCGTTTTCAAGTGTCCATCTGGTAAAATGTATCCACAAACATATTTCCTCCAACAAAGTATTTTCGGATATGAAAATTCTCTTTTGGGAGTTACGTTGTGGGAGTTTTGTTGGGAGTTATGTTTTTGATGGTCTTGTAGCGGGCGGTTGCATGGCGGTTCGCTGACACTTCCAGCTTGCATGGATACGCGAAAGGCACCTGCATCCGTGTGGGATCCTTACAAGCAGAAGGACATTGACAAACTAGAAAGCATCCAAAGACGAGCGGCGAGATATGTTCTCAATCGCTACCACAACACGTCAAGCGTGACCAACATGTTAGCAGAACTCGGCTGGCAACCACTGGCAGAACGCAGAAGGTCAGCAAGACTAGGGATGCTGGCTAAGATCAACCAAGGAATTGTGCAATGCCCTATTATAAAAAGCAAGCTTGTTCCGCCACCATCAAGAAGAAGACGCACACACAACTACCAGCTTTCCCAGATTAAGACTAGAACACAGTACAGAGACTTTTCATTCCTGCCTAGAACCATCAAGGATTGGAATGCAGCAGAGGTGGACACGGTGAACAACCTGGTGTCCAGCCTCATGTAGTCTTCACTGCTGTAATAGTATGGACGGGACTATTCGGAACTGACCCGGCGAGGTTAAATGGACTGTGAATACTGGACAATTTTTAGTATAAGGACCTCTGACCTGAAATGCCAGAATAATCGACGCCTCGATTGTGGGCATCAAGGGAAGAAGAAGAAGACAAATCGGCATATGGATACAATCATTTTCCCAAAAATTCTTAATAATGAATTTCTTTAATGTAATGTTACTAAGTAGTGGTAGGAACACGTAGAAAGTACGGCAGTGTAACACTCTTCGCCAACAAACAAATTCCGCAGTTCTGCCGGCAAAGTTGGCTCTATCCAATCAGAGCGCAGGTCATATGAAGTCAACCAATCAGAACGTAGAGTGCACGCTGCTACTTACATATTAATGAAAAAAATGGCGCGTGTTACTAGTATCTTCTACAGCGAGGTCGATAATGTGTGCTGCAAGTTTATTTTTCCGGCGATTTTTTTTACTTTTAACGCCGATTTTTCTCACGCTACGATCACGCTACCATTTGACACTGTACTGGAGACAACAGATGAGTAATCATTTTTCAATCAAGGAGCACGTTTGTTGAATGAAACAGCAATGAAAGCTACGATATAGCCAAATATTTTTCAAAATTTGTCTCGTGTATGAGAGATAAGATGACGCTTCTTTACATGTTTTGATGTAGTTTTGGCGTGATATAAACTAGTAATTTGTAGCGGAAATGCATATATATGTTGCTAGTACGGATGAAGTACGGACGAAGAAAGGCTCTTCACTATTAAAATCCGGCTAGCGCGGGCGCTACCGGAGGTTACAATTTAATAATGCCGATGTTTGGAGTTTTGCAGCAGAATGTTTTAGGTATTCCTGATGATACGTTTGCCATCTGTAGCAGTGATTTGTATGTCAATACTTGTAAATCATCAGTTAATGCCCTGTTATTCCGTGTCAAGAAATGTTCAACTAATGTTTTTCAGCCTATTTTCAGGCCCTCTGATGCACTGCCAGACCAACTGTCAATGTATTTACCAGTTGTAAGAATTGCAACTTCAAGTACATTGCTTTTGTACTTTTTGATTGTTAACTCTAGACTCATGACCTCGCTGCAGGCTGATATGCATCCTTCAATCATGACTGGGGTTGTCTACTAGTAGGGTTGCAAATAAGTACTGAGTGTACTGTGAAAATTGATTAATAGAATAGAATGAAGACCTTTATTGTACATTTGTGTTCTACAGAACTAAGTACAGGTCGCATGGGTACAGAACATGAACATAAACATATACATATACATATACATTACATACAAATGAACATATAAGAGCGTAAATAAATGTCTAATTTCTATTATTTTCGGCTTCATCTCGCTTAGTAGTGATTGTATGGATATATGCGGCTGTGAGATTACTTAGAGCAGGTTTATCAAAAGTTAAAAGGAATACAAATTTAGTTACAGGTCCAAAATACCAACTCATTAAGTACTGGTACATGATGGGACCAGAGACTCAAAACTTTCAAGGAGAGCAGGGCTCGAAATTCGTTTTGGGGAATAGGTGCACCCAACCTAAAAAATTTAGGTGCTCAAAAATGTTAGGTACACCATATCAATTCAGAAACAAGGTCTAATTACAGGTCTTACTGCTCCCCTTCTTAGCTTGAATCTGAAATGGCAGCTAACTCCAAAATCTGTAACAAGTAGTACAACAAGACTTTATTAATTTTCTGAAACTTAAATGCATATCGTGTATCCAAGAATATCATGTATACTATCATACATTTGATATGTACAGAAATACCTTCAAAAATATCTGGGTGCGGAAAAAATTGGGTGCACAGCTCCACATTTGGGTGCACTTAAGGTGCACATGCACCCAGTATTTCCAGCCCTGGAGAGTGTTGTTATAATCTTTTATTCATTCAAATGTATGAGCAACAAACAGTCCATATGGTTCTGTTTTGTCTGACTAAGGCCATCTGTCCTGTTTTATTTGAAATGAAAAAAAAAAAGATTCTGTAAAGTTTTGAATGTCTCTATTGTTTGAGGAAGTTCAGCAGAACATTCCGTATTACCTCATTTCTTATTATTACCGGTAACTTAATTTGTCAATATGTTTCCGATACAGGTTCAGGTCCTCTGACTAGACCTCTGTATCCTGTACTGATGTTAATCTCCAAGCAGATCATACGGTGGCAAGGCAGTATCCATTGGCCAGAGGAATGTCCATTAGGCCATAGCAAGTAAATTTTATGAATGACATCCTCCTCTGACTCCGAATCTATTGCGATTTCTTGTTTTTTTTTTCAAATCAGGCGAAAATTAATGCGCGCGCTAATGATCCTTAAAAATTATTTGCTGTGGCCTTAGCCACCAAAGCTAATGGCCACTCGTCTCGCCGATGGAAACTGCCTTGCCAGTCTCGCCACCATATGACCTGCTTGGAGATTACCTGATGTCACGTTTAGATACACAGCTAAAATGTACGCAAACAGAGGTACATTTTGTATTTGTTCATTAGGTGGTTTGAATGCCTTTCAAAATTCAGCCTTCATGAATCTTAGAACCTTGTTGGCAGTTGGGTCTGTTTGACATAGAAATCAAACAATGACCTACGATAAATGTGACTGTGCCATAAATAGACTAGGCCGTACAAGAAATTGTTTGTATCTCTTCTGTTTCAGAAGTCATTTGAGATATTCTCACCAGCATGGCATCAAGTGGAGTCAGCTCTGATGACATGGAAAGGAGTTTGGAAGGGGAGTTTGGCGGTGGAATGGTGACTGCAAAATGCTACGAGTGTGAGGAGTGCAGCAAGCAGTTCAGTCGGATGGATGATCTAAGGACTCACATGCGTACTCACACAGGGGAGAAACCTTACAAGTGTGAGGAGTGCAGCAAGCAGTTCAGTCAGCTGGGTAATCTAAAGACCCATATGCGGACTCACACTGGTGAGAAACCCTACATGTGTGAGGAGTGCAGCAAACAGTTTTGTCAGCTGGGTGATCTGAAGAGACATATGCGGACTCACACTGGTGAGAAACCATACAGGTGTGAGGAATGTGGCAAACAGTTCACGGACCTTGGTAATCTTAAGAAACACATGCAAACTCACACTGGTGAGAAACCCTACAGGTGTGAGGAATGTGGCAAACAGTTCAGTGAGGCGGGTAGTCTGAAGAGGCACATGCGAACCCATACTGGTGAGAGGCCTTACAGGTGTGAGGAGTGCAGCAGGCAGTTTACTCAGCCGGGTAGTCTGAAGACTCACTTGCGTACTCACACAGGGGAGAAACCTTACAAGTGTGAGGAATGTGGCAAGCAGTTCAGTCGGATGGGTGATCTGAAGTCACACATGCAGACTCATACTGGTGAGAAACACTACATGTGTGGGGAATGCAGCAAGCGGTTCAGTTGTCTTTATAGTCTGAAAAACCACATGCGGACTCACACTGGTGAAAAACCTGATGTGTGTGAGGAGTGCAGCAAACAGTTCCGTCAGTTGGGTAATCTGAAGTCACACATGCGGACTCACACTGGTGAGAAACCCTACAGATGTGAGGAGTGTAGCGAGCAGTTCCGTCATCGTTCCAGTCTAAAGAAACACATGCAGACTCACACTAGGCACAATTCTTAAAAATGTTCCGAGTGTTGCAAACCATCACACATCACGTCATCTTAAAGGCCCATTATGTAACTTTTTGACAATACAAAAAAGTATATTTTCCAGTCTTTCCTTTTCATAGTAAGTTGACTTAACCCTTTAGTATTC